AGACAACACATTGACCTCTGTCTTGCAGCCCATTATCCCCTCACAGTACGTCTTGCATCAGTATCCAATGGCTATTCTACATTCAAGCTTTAATCTAAATCAACAATTGAGTGGTGTGAAATGATATTTCACCCCTCTGAAAAATTGACAATTTCTATCTAATATTACAACCCGAAAACCCCCAGGAAAATGTCTTGCATAGGGTATTCTAATTTTGTTTGTGTACAAATTAACTTAATAAGTAAATGCAAGACGGTGTGAAATTGTATATTTTCCTGGATTATGACGACATTTTCTCAAACATTTTTATCAGCTAAATTCCCCACTCCCATATATTTTACTGCGCAAGTGCGTTTCAGCATCATGTTATCTAACTGATGATAACAATGCAAGACGGTGTAAAATGATTTGATGAAATAGGCCTCGTATCCCGTACTATAAGCAAACCACATAACCGAACGATTCGTACTCTTTTTTTTTTTTCATATATTCTTCTACTTTTTTCAAATATGCTTCTAGTTTTTTCAAATTGGGTCAGAAGTATCGTTTTTTGAAGGATGAAACATTTTCTGTTATTCCGCGATCGGAAGTTTTAGTTTCTTGAAACAATTGGATTTTTTCTTTTCGTATTTGAGGATCTGTAATGTCCTTTTCAAAAGAATTGGAAATGAATAGTTTGAAAGAATTGGAATTGAACGACGCCGGCGTTTGTAAAACTCGTAAGTCGTAGGATTATGGGTTCTAGAATTTTATTGTGGAAATACATACAATATGTAGCGTAACCGCTTTTGTTGATGAATTAACAAGAGGCCCATAATATGCTCAGTTTGCTCAGCGAATAATTATTAGGGGTGGGTCAATAGTTTAATACAGAATGGCAAGGGCGCCACTGAATTTGTAAAAAAAAAAAAATTAAAATACATAAAATATTGGAGGGTGAAAATTCAGAAACACACCTTAAAAAAGTAATCAGCAAACGGTAATTGATAATTCTGAAAAGGAAATAAATATGGCATATAACTCAACCAAATTTTGACAACAATACGAAAAACAAAATTTTAAATACTTATTCAAATGTCATATCAGTAAAATTCAATCAATTATGTGAATTGATCATGAAATAGGTTCCATAGAAAGAAGGAAGAAATTTAAAGGTTAATAATTAAACTTTATACAAGCCTCCATTCTAACTAAAGGTGGATTACTATAGCCATCCAGCTTTCCATTGCCACTTGAGGAGGGAAGTTGCACATGGAAGTTGCTAGAAGTTCTCAGTTGTCGTCAAATGTGGAGGTACAGGAGTCAATGCCTGAGGGACTTGATTCCTCTAGAAATTCCTTCAAATTCTCTATGCTACGCTCCACGAAAATGATGTTTTTTTTTAATAATGTGGCCTTTTGGAAATGGACTCGCAGAGAGAAACGGCTCCTTGGAAAACCCTAAATAATAGAGGCACTCGAATAATAACCATTACTTAAAAAAAATTAAAAAGGACTTACCACGAGGGGTTCGAAATTCAAACTTGAATAAACCGGTAATCACAATACTTTTGATTTAAATTTTTTCGGTAATCAACGGTCCAAAATAATGCCTGATGGCCGATTGGTACTTTATTTTCCACGAGCACGGTTGTGTCAGGAAGATGGCGGTTTTCAGCCCAGGATCGACCTTTTCAGGACGAACGACAAAATTTGAATGGGGCGAGAAAAGAAACGGACAAGATTAGACAAGATGAACAGCAGAGCGTCCCCTCAAAAAATAGCCCACGGAAAGCGTTGGTACTAAACTGGTACTTCAAATTTAAACGAAAATCGTGCTCTCTGGTTTAATAATTGCTAATATTATTAGCAGCAGAAACCTTTTTTTTTTAATGGTAGTCACCAGATTGTCAACATTAAAGGTAATATAAAATTATATGTGATAGAAAAAAGACAAAGTAATATTTGAAATGTTACAGAAGGTATTATAATTAGGTGGCATGTAAGCAGGCACTAGGAGAATCAGCCGTTATAGTAGTTCCTCAAAAACGATTTGTTTTCATTTTCATGGTTGTCATCTATGTTTATTCCTTCTCCTCTGATGGATGATTTTGTTTTTCGAGACATGTAGCGTTTAGTGCCTGCGAAATATTTTTGTAATATTTCATTAATATTTAGATATGTATCTTTCAAGATTGCCTTTAAGGTTTTACGGAATTTTTCATTAAAAACGGAATCAGTATTCGAAGCTGATTTATGACAAAGAGCTTCGACCTGTAAAGGGGGTCTAGATAATGCATCATTCATATCTAGGATTCCTTTACTTATACTTGATTTCATAATCGAATTCAGCTAGTTTGAATCGCCATCTGACTAGCTTAGAGCCAGGGCTTTTCACAGAAAATAACCATTGGAGTGGTTTATGGTTTGATAGTATTGTAAATTTTTGTCCAAACAAGTAATGGTGTAAAATATTTAGTTGCCTATAGTATGGCTAGTAATTATATTTCTATTGTGGAATAATTACATTCAGCAAGGTTTAGTGAGCGACTTTCATAGACGATCAAGTAGATCTGAGCCTATTGGTCCTTGTGCACTAGCGTAGCCAGGGGGGGGGGCAAGGGGGCATTTACCCCCCAAGACCCTTAAATTTTAGGAATATTTCTTCAAAATTAAGATAAACAGTCCCAAAAATAGCGTAAAGAAATCTGAGAAAGGGGCGTGGCACCCAAAAATTTTGCGCCTGCGGTAGGGCCGCAAGAGACGCTCCCTGCAAATTTGCCCTCCCCCCCAAGACAAAATCCTGGCTACGCCACTGTCCTTGTGATACAGCGCTAATAGCATAATTAGATCCGTCTCTAGTTAATAGGAAAGGTTTTGTAAATTCTAGTTATTACGTGTCCCGAATATCCGACTGATTTCTCCACTTGTCTTGACTAATAATTGTATTTTCAAATTGAACTACTCTAATACGATCTTGTAGAGAAGTGGATATTGATATCCTTTATATAGAATAAACATATTTTGTATTGTAGTTCAGATAAAACATTATCCATCACTCTCTGGAAAGTGGCTGGGGCGTTTTTTAAGCCAAAGAGCATGCGTGTATATTCAATGCCCGATTTCTACATTGAAAGCGGTTTTAAGAAATGAACTTGAGTGCTTTTCCACTTGCTGGAAACCAGAAGCTAGATCCTAAGTTGTAAAACAATTACTTCTGCCAAGTTTGTCTAGATTGTTGCATAGTTAATTTACGATAGTCATAATAACCATTCGCCATCATCCACACAGGGGATGACCATGAGGATTGTTTGATGATTGGTTTATTATTTTTTTTATTTTTTCATTGACTTTTCGTTTATGATCGTAGGGATAACGATATCAAAGATTTTGCGTGAGCAGGGATCTCATTTGTGGTTTTGTTTCGTGTTTACTTCATTAGGAAATGGCAATTTTTCATCCGGTTTATGAAATATTGTGAGAAAGGACATAAATATAATAAATCAGTTTATAGAGGATTTGAGGGATTATCGATACGATGAGTCAACGTAAGGAATTCATTTTTACGGTTATGTACCGCTAATGGAATTGTACCATTTTTGACTTTCAACAATCGTTGTTAAGATAACATAAGTTTCAGAGTTCATGAATGGAGGTGAAATTTCTGTTCCTTCTGTTATATTAGTAACTAAATGACAGATTTGCATTCTTTAAGCAGATATTTCTAAAAATTGTTTATCAAAATCGGTTTCGAATTGTAATGGAATTGTGTTTTCATTGTTAAATACACATGTTAGAAAAATCAATTTTTATATTATTTTCTTGTAGGGTTTTTATTCCGATAATTCCATCAAAATCATCATGGAAGTTGTACATTATTAATTCGACATTTCGTTGACATTGGATTCTTGTAAGATGGGTACATTTACTTTTACTTTTGTTTTTCTAGTTCTCATACAAGTAGGTAGTAAGTTTATTATGTGAATTAATTATGTTGTTCAGCGATGGAGGTTCCTATAAGAGAGGAATGACTACCAGTCAAGGGTAGTTAATTTATAAAGTTAAGGCTGTCAACTAAATTTTCTTAATCCTTGTAATCAGGGTAATACTCATTATCGAGTTGCTCGTCTTGATTATCAGAATAATCAGTGTAATCATCTTCAAAATATTGTTCAGAATGTTCTTTCGAATTTTGTTCAATGATGTTTGATTGATTTCTACGATCGTGTATTTGGGGGGACCAGTATTTGGATTTGGTATAAAATAATATAAGAGGGACCTAGTTGGTTTTGTTGCGGTCTATATATTTGAGAAATTTGTCTGCGAGGTGTTGGTTTACACAATTATTCTTTGGTGGTTTGATTTGTTCTCTGTAAACGCAATTTTATTTTTGGAAAAGTTTTTTCCAAAAGTACCTACTAGAGCTACTAGGAAATTTTTGTTGGTAGGTAGACTTTGTTTGTGAATTGAGTTTGGATGGGAGTTTTTGATAGTTAGCTTGATTATGATTCTCAGTTTGAAGTGATTTGTTCATATAAGGTAATTCCGGGATCGTTGCCCCACCGGTATAGATGCCCCTATTTTCATATTTCGCGCCGAAAATAAAATTACCCATAATGTTCGTTAGCCACCCGTCAGTTATCCCAAATTATTCGTCGGAACAGGTGATTGTGTTTGTACTCCGCCCTGTTAGCGAGATTAGGATTTTTTAAGGTACGTTTATACGAATACAGTCATTATTATAAGGTTTAACATGTTTATCGATAGAGAATTTGTATATTTTTATTATTTTGATTGTGCAATTTGTGGTCATGTAGTACTTTGCTTCATAAGTTGAGGTTATCTTTGTGCTAATAGCAAAATATTCACTCAACGCTTGTAGGGCTGTGTGGGGCATCTGTACCGTACGAAAGGATAGATGCCCTGGGGCATCTAACCCGTACAAAAGGACAGATGTCCTGGGGCACCTGTCAACAAAATTATTTTGTATTTGTACTTTTTTCTATTACAATTTATTTATAGGATGCCCACACAATATAAACGAAAACTTGGTGGCAAGCCAAGGAGGCAATGGCGGCAAGAAGACCTAGAAGAAGCTCTAAGATGTTTAACTTCTGGCGAAATGGGAGTTAATGAAGCTTCACGTGCATATGGTATTCCTTCACGAACACTGAGAAGAAGAAGAATTCAAAGAAATAGGTCTGATCTACCTCTTGGTCCCCAGGCTGTTTTGGGAACAGAAAATGAAAAAAGACTGGTAAAACATATTCAGAGACTGGAGAAAGCCGGATTTGCTCCTGATAGAGAGACGATTCGGGCATTGGCTTTTCAATTTGCGGAAAAACTGGAAATTACCCACAGGTTTAATCGTGAAACGGGATTGGCCGGCTATGATTGGTTAACCCTATTTTTGAAAAGAAATAAAGAACTAAGTGTCAGGCAGTCGCAAGGATTATCCATTGCTCGAAGCCAGGGAATGAATCGAGAAGAAGCTAAACATTTTTTTGAATTGTTTCATAAGTGTTACACAGAAAATAACATGTTTGTTAGACCGGAAAACATATTTAACATGGACGAAACCGGCTTCCAAGTAAATAACGAAGCTGGAACGGTAATCGCCACAAATGGAGCTAAGGATGTACATACCTTAATTTCGGCCGAAAGAGGCCAAAATGTGTCCATTATTGCCTGCTGCAGTGCGGAGGGACGATTTCTACCACCAGTGGTTATATTCAAGGGACAACGAGAGAAACCTGAATTTAAGGACGGACTACCTTCGGGTTCTAAAGTTTTTATGAATCCTAAGTCCTCGTACATTACTGCCGAATTGTTTTTCAAATGGCTAAGGGATCATTTTGCTCCTCGTAAGCCGCCTGGAAGAACCATTTTAGTTTTAGATGAGCATGCTTCCCATACTAATTCTTTGGAAATGTTGGAATTTGCAGATGCAAATGATATTGATCTAATTTGCCTTCCCAGCCACACCACTCAAGCACTGCAGCCACTTGACAGGGCATTTTTTAAATCCCTTAAGTACAATCTAAAACGTGAAGCTCGACAGTGGATGAGACATCACCCAGGACGACAGCTAAAGCGCATTCAAGCAAGTCAACTGATTGGAAAGGCATGGGAAAAATCAGCCTCAGTAGAAACTGCTCTTTCTGGTTTTAGAGCAACGGGAATATTTCCTTTGGACCCGGATGTCGTTCCGGAACATTTTTATGCAATTGCTGATGTAGCATATTCTGCAAGCACTGAAAATTCTGCCCAGTTTGATCCTAATGAACCAACTGCGGGGCCATCAAGACAGCTTGGTCCTATAACTACCACTGTAGCACCTTTTGCAAGGGTTAAAAAGGTTGTTCATTCCCTATCAGATGATATCGAACGGCGGTCGCCGATTCCTGGAACATCAAAAGAGCTAAGATCTCCTAATGTCAAGCATGCATCTAAGTCGGAAAAAATTAAATTTAAAGAAACACCTAGTAAATTCCTGCAGGAAATTTCTCCCGTTCCAATCATTCAACGTACTGAAAAAAAAAAGAAAAAAACAAGCCGCGCAACTCCTAAACCAAAAAATATTGAAGCAAAGCAAAAACCAGAAGTCACTTGATGAAACTGAAATTTCTGAAAATTCCGAAAATTCAGATGATGAACCATTAGCAAAAGTAGCAAAGAAAATTAAAACCACCGACAAGACCTCTTCAGAATATCTAAAAAAATTGACCAATTACAAAGAAATCTCGTCGTGAATCTAAATCGGAAAGATGTGCTGAATGTTTGGAAAACTATTACGAAACCACAGAGACAGTGGATTGGCTTGAGTGTATAGCATGCAAAAAATGGTATCATGAGACCTGTTCCTTGTACGCCAATAAATGCAACCTTTATGGAGAGAAGAAAAAAGGGCTGAGAAGGCGAAGAAAGACCTAAAAAAACTATTTTAGGCTAATTGGTTGCCATGTTTGAACTTGATTTTTTATTGTTTTGTCCTTTATTGTACAACGTTTGGCCAAATTTTAGTTTGAAAAAAACCTTTCGTTTGTTCTTTTGAGAGTTAATAAATATTGTACACATATTATCTCCACTTTAGTATTATTTTACAGCCGGGGCATCTTTCCCGATGATGTAGGGCGTCTCACCCGTATCGTAGGGAGAGATGGCCAAAAACGCCATTTTGATTTTTCAATTATAATCCTGCAATTATTGCATATTTTCTCAAAACAACATTTTCTATGTGTTCTACATTTAATATCGTACAAAATATATTTTTTTTCAGAGTTAGAGCCTTCAATATTACATTGTTTCGATTTTTTTTGTTAGGTGGGGCAACTCTCCCGGAATTACCTTACTTGTGTTCAAATTAATGGGATTCCCTGATAAATAAAAGATCAAAACCAATGTGGCATTTGGTTACTTCTTTTATAATTAAAATAAATGATACATAAGCAAGATAGATGTTATTATTTACGAGGGAACAAAAGGGTCATTAACTTGAAATACATTGACTTTATTTAGGACTAGCACTATCAATAAATATCATTTTACCTGATAGGTATAATTGAAACACCTTGTTTGGCTCTACAACAAAAAAAGATCGGGGATTTTCGGTTAAAGTTCTGAGGTCGACCGACCCGAAATAAATTGTGATTTTATTGCTATCAGAGGTCTCCTCAAAAATAAAGGAAAACGCTGTATGATTCATTTTATGGATGCTCCTATATCCCCTTTAGAGCAATAACTCTTATAGTGTTTTTGCTGGCCCCAAAACCACTCACATGCACACAAAGGATTGCTTTTGCTCGGCTTTATACTATAGTTGTGTTGTATTGTTAAGATTTTTCGTATCTCGAAAATTATGATAGTGAAGTTTAATAGGTTTGACGGCTTAGATTTTCCGTGAATTTTTTTATTGTATTTTTCTTTAATACCTATAGCGGAATCGCGTTCAGTCGCAACAGGTCAACATGTTTAACATTAATTTCCTACATTTTTCGGTAATACGAAACATGAAAACAATATCCATTTAAAAGAGAACCATCTTACTAGCGTACCGAGAGAATCCTTTTAATTACTTAATTAACACCTAGTTCAACCTTCAAAGCGCTTAGTTCTAAAGTAGAGAACTTTATTAGAACCAGCTAAATTATGAGTGCCTCTGTATGGATTTAAATATGGAGAAAGTGAGACGGTGTTGAACTTAGCACCAAAGCCTATTAAATTTATTGATATAAGGTCTTGTATTATGTACTTGAAGGGTATTTGCATATCCTATGAGTTAATTTAATTGAAAGCAAGTTCTCTTATAATGATGATTGCGAATACTAAATCGCAATTATAAATTAAACAAATAGAATAATCAGATACAGCGTCCAATCCAAGTAACACTTGACTTACGAACTCACAAAGCCAGCAAATAGCTTTGATATTGATAGTACCTCCCAATAAATATATTGTAAGTATATCAACAGTAAAATGTGCAAGTACAGTATCCGCCAAAATAAAAAGTACTGAACACAAATTATATCATTTATTAATTTGTATTATGCGTATATGTCCAAAAAATGCATCATAGCGAGGCAAAAAAGCTTCATAACGATTCTGCAAATCATTCAAAATATTTATTAAGAGTGGTTGCTGAAATTTTTCTGAGACTTGTTTCAAACTTGAGCCTTTATTCCTTCCAAATCCGTATTACCGGAAATAGTGCTCTACTAAGAAAACTGTTTCTTAAGTTGAAAGATACATAATGACGCAGATTTTAACCTTAACTTAATGTCAACCTCATAACTAATGCCAAGTAAGCGATATATATATAAATGCAACTTGCGTGCGCAATTACTCAGAGCTCTAGATTTCGGTACTGTTTATTTTGGCGGATACCGTATATAGTTAAGGAGCCATGGTGGGTTGAACAAAATATACAATCGAATTCACTATAGAATTTTCAGATATAAAGAAAAGAGAGGAAACATTTATCCCCTAAGAGGGAAGTCTAGTCAACTACCGGGGAAATTGAGGCATACGGAGTTGTATCGTTTTTAGTGAAGAAATACGTAGAGATGTGGTAAGAGATAGTCTTATATCTGCTCCATTTACTTTTGATACCTTTCCCTTATTTCCTGCATTCTTGGTTGATGTCGGAATGCCCCTGCGACCCTACCCTTCACTCTTACTTGATAACCGGTTAACCTTTATACAGGCATTCTTGATTGATGTCCGAATGCTTCGTTCCCTCCACTCTTGGATGATATTGTCCGGATGGCCTCATTTCCTGCATTCTAGGTTGTTGTCCGAATGTCTTTTTCCTCCACTCTTGGTTGAGGTCCGGGTGGCCTGCCTTTCCTGCGTGCTTGGTTGATGTCCGAATGCCTCCTCCCTCTACTTTTGGTTGATGTTCGGGTGGCCTTTATTTCCTGCGTTTTTGGTTGATGTCCGAGTGACTTTCCGCTTGGGAGCTGGTATAAAATACGTGCAGTGGTCATCATTGTTTACCTTATTTATTTTTAACGAATTTAGTTAGCGTCTTTCTCATATACGCACGCACGCACGCACCCATCGTACTCAGTCTCTCACTCTCGCGCCCGCATTGTTAATTTAGAATACATACTTGGGTTTGGCTATTGATAGAGAATGTTATATTACCGGAAAATGATTTCGTGGCATTACTGAATTTGGTAATTTTATTTTTGTGTATTTTATTTCGGAGCTTTACAGAAAATTCACTCAATTTTATTTTGAGATATCGCCCGGTTGAATAACAACGTCTTATAGGACCCCTAGGTAACCGTTTCTTCACTCTACTCTAACTCTAATAAGCTACCTGGTGCACGTGGGTCCTCAACCACTTCAATACAATCCTGAGGGTGCCGTTGGAGATAACTATGGGATAAGAGACCGATAACCAAACTACGTTGCTTCCGTAATAACAACGCGTTACAGTATCTACAATTTAACGAAAAAATAACTACATGCGCTGCAGATTCATCGTGATTGAAAAGAAAAGTGCATTTTTGAAAATACGCCTGCTGTATGGAATTTAAACAGCGCATTGTCAAGCGCATCACGTTATATTGCAATAGATAGTTTGATTTTTATCTGATTTTTCTTGCAAGTTGACAACTAAAATTTATTCTCAATGATTTATTTTAATTTTAAATTTTTATATTGGTGCAAAGGTACCTACATATTTTCACATTTACATATTGTACATTTATTTCCCTTACTTTAGATGTGCAAATTGACTTTATCGATCCGGGTCTTTTGTTAAGGTATTATGATATGCAGCTCGGTGCAAATTTTGAGGATGTCTTGAGGGAATTTGATTTCAGGAGCAGTGAATGGGATGTGCATCATAAAGCACATTGTAACAAAAAAGGATTAAACTGTTCGACAATCAGCGAATGATATCATTGTACTGTCCAGGTGAGACGTGAGTTCTGCATAACAATCAATAAGTAAGCTATATACCGCAATTGTATATCGAAACTGTACCTACTTTAAATTTATAGTTCAATCGGGAGAAATCATATTCCGAAAATATCCTGCGGAAAGCAATTCTCGAGCTAAGGGCAACGAAGCTTTGTCGCTTGAAGGAGTTACATTTTTATTTACAATAAAATGGTAAGTGACTGCAATTTCCCCTATATTCTTAGCATCATTTTGGACTTGCATCAGTTGAAATAAAATGAAACACAATTGATTTTGTTATAAATTGCAATAATAAGGCTTCATTATTGGAAATCCTATTTTGTGGCCTAGATATTTTCATTTCATTTTATCTCATATACAAGAAATTGAAATAATTTTGGTAATGCCTTGTAGGGTAGCAATTATGTACGACCTAAAAGATTCGGAAAAAAAACATGTCAAATTAATCATTACAATAAAACTGCTCTTGACAGCTCATAATAGCTGGTTATACTGGCAACTTGCGAGATAAAGGTATCTAAAAAAACCGATAGGGTTAGATAACATATAAATAATTAAGGTAACTTCCAACCTAGGCCAATGCCATATCAAAGATTTACTGAAAATAGTCAAGTATTCGAAACCATCATCGAAACCTCTAGGTAAATTGGGAGAAAATGAGTTCGCGATCGCTACGAACTATAATAACAACAACTATAAAATTAAACCACTTCTTCCAGTGACTAAGTATTATCCGTTTTATGGATACAGGTGAAGTTAAAAGTCTAGGTATCCTGAAAATTCTAATAAAGACGAACAAAATTTTACAGAAAATGTACATTTTCTCGAACTAGTCCTACAGCCTGATAAGAATCAACATTTGATAAAATAATTTGTTACCATTTATCCAAATCAAAAACACTAGTGCGGAAAAGTGGTACTTTCATGACTTAAAATATGTGTGGAAAAGTGGGGTTTCACGCACGCTCGTAGAAAATAGTATATTGTGCAACAAGTGTTGAAAATAGTACTTTTCACACGCGTGGGGAAGTTTGGTGGCAGGAGCCGCCGGCGAGTGGCACAAACCACACAAGTGTGAAAAGTACTTTTCACACGTATTACACACTATACTTTTTCTACGACTGCAAAATAACTATATTTACATTGAGATGTAATTTTTTTTTTTTGTTAAAAATTATTATTTAAGGGTACAAATCAACGATCAATTTTGGTACGTACGCTGAATGCCATCAGAGTTGCTTGCAGAACAAAAATTCAGTAGAACTGTAATTTTTATTTTAGCGTGTTGGAAGTACTTTTCGCACGCTGTGTGGAATAATTGATTTTCTAGGTAGGTAAGTTAGAAGTGCGTTTTTAATTGCTTTCTAGAGCAGTCGTAGAAAAAAATCTTTATGCGTTTAGAAGTTCCAGCAGTGGAATTTTTATACTGGGTGACCACGAGATTACCTACTCACCAACCTCTATCTTAGGCATGGAAAGGAAATCGATATCTATCGATTTGAAATTTTGGAGATGTACAGGGTGGTCCAATTTGGACACTGAAAATAGGACACGCCAATGTCTGGGTGAGATACAAAATAATGAAACCCCCATTCTGAGGCTCAAATTTCATTAAATCTTGATTGCTGCAAACCGCATTTTGATATCTTCAACCCAGCTAGAGGGCGATTCTCAATTCTGAGCAATAATACTGTGAAAGCCTAATAACTTTTGTGATGAAAATAATTGATATCCGAAAAAATTTCCTGAAAGCACTTTTTAAAGCATAATCCAGTGTTGTTCTCATTTTTTTTTTTTTTTTTTTTTTTTTTTTTCATTCAACATGAAATTAACTGACAGTCGTTTCCGGTTTGACCGGAAGTGCCTTCAACTTATTTATTCCAAATGTGTTCTGCGCTATGTTTTTACATTTTGGGATTCCCAGGGATTCTACGACGAAAAATTTTAACCACAATTCATGTATAACAAATATCCTATACCTTACTTTAACAGTTCTCAAGAACATCGCGATTAAACATGTTATACAAAGAATAATTTTTATTTTAGTTTTGACACAAAAAAATTGAAGGTTGGCTCGAAATAATATGATAGGTACCTACTTTCCTCTCAACTTCTTTTAGAAACACAAGAGTCCTAACACAAAAATTTCACTTGCGCTGTTCAATCGAAAGTTTTTGATCGATCATCTACACTTCTAAGGTAATGTTACTGCCATAAATTCAATGGTACCCTAATAATTGAAAGTTCGAATTTTACCAACAATTTTGCATAGATTTATTTATACAGTAAGCACGTAAAGGTTGGAATAAAATCTATAAAAAATACAGGGTGAATATTTTTCAAAAAACCTCGGACACGTCAATTTTTGATTTTATTGGCCGTGTTTTTGATGATAATACCATATATACAGGGTGACCCAAAAACAAGTTATGACAGCTAACTTTATTTTTTTAAATGAAAACAAAAATTTTTTATTTCATTTTTAAATTCTACGTTAAATTCTGAACATATTTCATGTATCATGTCCTATACATATCTTCAACTGTTTCGGAAATATTGACAGTTAAAAATTGACTTTTTTGCAACTTTGACAGGCTGTAGAATCTAAACGGTTAATTTTAGGGGAAAACCGATTTTACATTCCTATCTCAGATTTTTATAAACTATCATTTGATACCAACTTTGAATTTAATCCATGATTAAAAATTCCAATTAAATTTAATCTCCGGTTAAATTCAAAGTTGGTATCAAATGAGAGTTTATGGAAAACTAAGATAAGAATGTATGATCGGTTTTGCTCTAAAATTAACCTGTTAGGTTCTACAGCCTGTCAAAGTTGCAAAAAAGTCAATTTTCAACTGTGAATATTTCCGAAACAGTTGAAGATAGGTATAGGACATGATCATGAAATAGGTTCAGAATTTAACACAGAATTTGAAAATGAAATAAAAAATTGGTATTTTCATTTAAAAAAATAAAGTTAGCTGTCATAACTTGTTTTTGAGTCACCCTGTGTACATGGTATTTTCATCAAAAAAACGGACACTAAAACCGAGGTTTTTTGAAAAACATCCACTCTGTATATTTTATAGATTTTATTCCAACCTTTACGTGCTCACTGTATACATTTTCCTATGCCTTAATTTTGAAATATTTTTTTTCTACTGACGTTTCATAATAGCAACTTTTCGATTGTCATTTTAGTTTTAAAACGATATTCTTTTAAGCACTGAGTGCGTAAAAGTTACTTTTAAGCACTCAGTGCGTAAAAGTGACTTTTGAATGCGTAAAAGTGACTTTTGAGTGTGTAAAAGTAATTTTTAAGTACTAGTGCCTAAAAGTGTCATTCATTATCCAGAAATTAAAAACACACTAAACACAGATTTAAATTTTGTTTTGTATTTATTATGAATATTAAAAATGTAATTATTGAATTGAACGTTTGGGTTACTCAAAACAGAACTTTGTGTTGTTACCTACTTTCTGGGATTTCAATTATTGATATCGAATCTTGAAAAAAAAATCGCATGAAAAGTGTCAGGTGTCAAGCAAAAGCAGGTAACAAAGATTTTGGGCGTAGTCGACTTATTCACATGAAATAAAATTGTGTTTTTTATTATAAAATGCCAGTAGAAAAAATCTTGTATACAATACGTTACGAAACGAAGTCTTTTAGTCACTCGACGTGTTGTCCAACTCGGCTTTGCCTCGTTGGACAATTTTCACGTCGCGTGCCTAAAAGACGCTCATTTCGTAACTTATTGTATAAATAGCTATTGTCTAATGATAATTCGAGAGCAAATTTTCGTAGGTTTCAACGTTTAAAGTCTCCAAATAGGTATAACTGTGGTATAACTAGGTATCTTTAAAAACAGAACCCTTAGGTACAGGATGTCCGGTTATAATTTGACGCCCCACTTGCAGCCTTTACCTTTACAGATAGAATAAGAAAGATGTGATTACATAAGTTGTGGAGTTTTGGCTAAATTTTTAGAATCCATGGTCAGAAACAAAAATTGAATGTCAGAAATGTAAAATTTTGCATAATTTTCACTTTTTTCGAACGGGGATGCCCTATATTTGATTCTATATTCTTGAAGTGCACAATTTTCCTATTACAAAAATATATAGACTGCCTAGGCAGAGGCAGTCTCAAATGTTTTTGTGAACCATTCTACCTGTACCTATACCAAACTTTGCCTATACCTAAAGGTGAAAGATGCAAGTGAAATTAGAGGCCATAGGTTTTTCTGATAGTATTTGTTAAATTTTTAGAGCCAAATATGTTGAAGACAGCTCAACCAAATATACAAATTATATATTTCTTAGGAATCGGAAAATTTAGCTCTTTTAGAATATAGGATCAAAAATATAGAAAAAATAGTTAAAAGTTATTGTGGTCGCAAACCTGAAAAGTAGTCGTAGATCAAGGATAATACACACTACTAAGGATTGCTTCGTTTTTCGTTTTTGGTAACCGCGGCCATATTGCTGTATCACCATTACCGGCGTCATTAACTAAGTCGTCAGCTGTTTGCGCCAGCGGTCCTAGTTTAGAATTTAAAATTTATGATGAAAAATATCATTTAATTTTGATTAACATAATAGGCAAAGAGGAAGATGCAATCGAGATCTAAAAAGGAGTTGTTTTAGAATGCTAATTAATGTACACTGAGAAAAGTCCCAGGAGAAAATTCTTTGCTTGTCTTTTTTTAGCTGTTACAGTGGAAAATGTCTTAGAGATAGCAATGTTATTTTGCTTCTACAGAAAAGACCACTTTGCTGAAACTACTTTATTGAAACTGCAAAGATATTTCTTCCCACATAACAAAATTGCATCCTTAGAATCAGAGCTGGGCAGTATTTGCAATTCTAAATACTTTTTAGTATTTAAATACTTTAAAGTATTTAAATACCTAGCATTTAAATACTTTTCTAAAACTGGTATTTGTATTTATGAATCCAAATACTTTTTG